TCTCAATAACAATAGCAGCAACAAAAATTAATGGTACTGCCAAATTCCTTTAATCCTTAATTTTTTAAATATATTACAAGCATTTCCAACCTTACAAAAAATAGGTTATTATGGTAGTCACCCATATATCCATTGTCAAATTCAACAGTTGTCAAAATTTTATTGTACTTGCTATTTTAAAGCAAATCTCAGATCTCATGTCATTTCATCCCTACATCAGTGTACACTCTTAAAGATATAATCCTTTACAAAATACAAATTAATTTTACTTTCTTCTAAACATGTATATTTTCTCTCTTATTAACATTGACACTCATTCAGCAGTGTATATATAGTACTTGTACCCCTGAGATTCAATTGAGCCTAAATTGTTGGATTTTATTTTTTCTTTCATTCAAAAAGTAAATTTTTTTTTGTTTACAAGAATATTCTAAAATTTTGCATAAGATTTTCTCATGGGTAGCATTATGGCTATCAGAGCTGAAATGTAGGTAGAATCAGTGATTAAATTGGAATCATTGAAAAGAATATAATGGCTGGGCACAGTGGCTCATGCCTGTAATCCTAGCACTTTGGGAGGCTGAGGCGGGAGAATCGCTCTGTGTTAGGAATTCAGGATCAGCCTGGGCAAGAGCAGACCCCGTCCCTACGAAAAATAGAAAAATTAGCTGGGTGTGGTGGCACACACTTGTAGTCCCAGCTACTTAGGAGGCTGAGGCAGGAGGATAGCTTGAGCCCAAGAGTTTGAGGTTGCAGTGAGCTAAGATGATGCCACTGCACTCTAGTCCAGGCAACACAGAGAGAGACCCTATCTCCAAAAAAAAAAAAAAGAATAATAGGCTAGTCTGCTACTTTTCTTTATATCCTCTGTCACAAATTTGAGATTGTTGTTTTGCCAGCAGTTTAAAATTATTTTTAGTGACTTGAATGCTATGAATTTATTGCAGACTTTTGAATCAGCTGTGCAAGAGAATGTCAGCATTAATGGACAAGCATGGCAGGAAGCTTCAGATAATTGTTTTATGGGTATGTGACTTTTTCCTTATGTCATTAATTTCTGGGTTATTTTTGCAGCTAATGTTTTGAATGCTGTTTTTAAATCCCTGTTTTCCATGTGACTTCCTTTAAAAAAATTCTTTATTAGGGGAATAAAAAGAGAAAACTAATATAGCAGACTACTGAAGTCATAATCTGAGGCAAACACAGTAGGTACCTTAATCCTTCATATATGCTATCTGGAATTTTAAACAGGACTTTCATCTGATTAATCTTCAAAAGTACCTTTGTTAATAGTTTATTGGAAAATACTGGAGAATTATCCTCAGATGAAGAAACAGGCCCAAAGAATTCATATAATTACTTATAAAGCAAGTTGTATTTTTGTAAGTGATCCTTAGAGCAGATAGCGAAATACCTTTATAAGTGTGAAGTTAAACTATACTATGTTTGATATAAACATAGAATATGAAGTGTGAAGTTAAACTGTATTACGTAAAAGATGAGGTCACAT